ATTAGAGGATTCGTGTACGTCGGAAGCATCATTGTTTTTTACGAGTGTTCCCGTGAGGAGATTGTAGGCATGGGCTTTCTGCAGGCTAATAGCGCAATCATTGACTTGCAAGATTTTAAAGTCTCCTTTTCTACAGAAAACGCTGTCGCAATGTCTCAAATGAAGCAACCAGCCATTTCACCCCTCCATATTGTGGATGAAGGCAAGACCATGCCGCTCAGTTCAAGTGTGACAGTGCTTGTGAAAAGTGGCAGATTTGGTGATTATGAGGAACTAGTGGATCGAAACATTGGACTGCTAATCAAAAAGGGAATATGTGGGGCAAGAGGTTTGGTGAACCTTTATAATGGTTGTGCGGGACGTCCTATTAATCAACATTGGCAGTGGGTGCAGCATGTGGTGAGGGAAAGAGCCATAGTATAGTGAATTAGATAGGGGTAGTGGGACGAGGGCGGTCCTGCTGGTTTTAATGGTGATACTTTGCGCCTCTGGCATACTCGGAACAACTTGACATAGTGCTGCTGTACATTAACTATGGCAAATAATACCTGTGGTGGATTCTGGCTAAAATTCAGCTAACACCCGAATTCCCAGCTGAAGAATCATCATGATAGGCTTCTAATATTTCCGCTCGCAGTGACAATGGTATGAGACGCAGAAGTGTCCTCGCCACTGTGTTCGAAGTTTCGCTTGTAGAAGAGATGTCATTCCGCAGAGCATAGAAACGTAGTCCATGGACGAAAACTAGCAGTACCTTTGGTTGTTGACCCTCCAAGTATTAGATAAAGGGGAGCAGCTCCGGATCCATTCGCTGATGATGGCCATCTCGGACACGTTGAGAGCTCCAAGAAATGATAATCTTCTTCATGTTTAGAAGATGAATGCTTAACTGGTCCACGTGACAGACAATTCTGCATCATTGTACTTGAGGCCTGGAATTGTACACAACTGTAATGTCATATATTTGGTGACGCAGGCTCCCATCTAGCAGTCTTCCTGAAGGGTCCTTTAGATTTGCCAGCCAACACAATGAGTGATGGTCCCTGATCATCCTAAACGGTTTGCCATATAGATAGGGACCGAGCTTACTGATGCCCCATATAATTCCAGGCATTCCTTCTCTGTAGTTAAGTAATTGGACCCAGCATGAGATAGGGTGCGCCTTGCGCATGCAATAACTTTTTCCTGTTCACGTCTGCCATTGAAGGAAGATGGTGCCAAGGCCAACGTTAGTGGAGTTGGTATGGATAGTCCCATTTCGGCATCTTCATCAAAGTGGCGCCAGAGTAGGAGGAGAGTGCGAACGGTATCGCAACTAAGAGAAAGTATTTTTCTTGTTTTTCCTGCCAGATGAATGGCCAACCCTTTTTTGTAAGCTGTGTCAATTGTTCAGCTAGCTTGGGAAGTTTTCAACGAAGCGTTTTATAGTAATCACCGGAGGTCCCAGGAATCGTCTTGTGGCCTTTTGTCTTGTTGCTTTGGAAAGTTTTCGACAGCTGTAATCTTTTCGGGATCGCGACGGACACTTTCAGCACTAACAGTGTGCCCGAGGAACCGATGCTCATAAAATCCGAAGTGGCATTTCTACAGTAGTCAGTGCGCCACGCAAATGACATCTAGTGCTATCCTTAGACGGTGGATATGCTGCTCAAAAGGTAAAACAAAAAACTACTACATCATCGATATAGACGAGGCACAATGGCCATTTAAGTGCGCAGAGGACAGTGTGCATCATCCTTTGGAAGGTTGTTGGAGCAGAACACAAGCCAAAATGGAGTACTTTGAACTCGTATAGACCATTGGGTGTCACAAACGCCATCTTCTCGCGATCTCATTCATTCACTTCGATTTGCCAATATCCGCTTTTTAAATCCAATGATTAAAAGAAATGAGCATTTCATAGCTTGTCCAGGGTATCATAAATTCATAGTAGTGGATAACATTCCGCTTCGTGAAGAGGATCAGCTTTTTTAGGTCAACACAAAACCTGAGGGTATTGGCCTCCTTTCATTGTGATAGCAATTATATGGACCATTCTCTGCTGGATTTCGCCGCCAGCGTTGGCGTCGATATCATGCATCGTATATGTTACGTATAAATATATATATATATATATATATGTGTGTGTATGTATGTATGTATATATAAAAATGCAAGAAAGAAAGAAAATGCAGAAAAAAGACTCTGGCGCACGGAATCGAACGTGGGACCTCCACGTTAACCACTGAGCCACCGAAAGGTACCTCCTTCAGCGGTCAAACGGCAAGCTATTTATATCTACCACTTACCGCTGTTGGCAGGCGCCTCGGGGGAGGGGGGGGGGACTATTGCGTTTTCAGCATTACCAGCAAGATGGCGCAGTGAGCGCGCGGCAGCTCTCATTTCTCACGCGTACTTTAGCCCGCGTAGAGAATAAGGGGGTGTACGCTTGATTGCGCGGCCTTATCTTGCAGTGGGGAGGATCGTATGTCTTGGCTAGCGTTTGGGTTTTGCAGGAATGACTCTGTTGTAGTTACCGGACGCACAAAGGTCACTGCAATTGTTGCACAGCCTCTGTTTGCGAAAAGGGCGCGCTTTTGAGACACAGCAAAGTAACAACTGAGACACTTATTCGCGTTCATCTACACCTGTGAGTACGTTTCGTGCGTCATTTGTGCATAAGAAATGCGAGGCACGTTTCAATCTTCTTGCCATTCTGCACGTCATCTTCTAATTTGTTACTATCGCGTTCATTGCTTCGCCTTTGCGGCAAGGCTGTGACTTTTTTTACCAATATCTCCGGTGATGCCCAGGGACTATGTTATGGCTGCATTACATGTCTTTGAGAATTTCTTGTACTTCTTTCCTTATGGGTCCCCATTCTTTTAGAGCTATTTGTTACTATCGCGTTCATTGCTTCGTCTTTGCGGCAAAGCTGTGACTTTTTTTACCAATATCTCCGGTGATGCCAGGGACTATGTTATGGCTGCATTACATGTCTTTGAGAATTTCTTGTACTTCTTTCCTTATGGGTCCCCATTCTTTTAGAGCTATTTGTTACTATCGCGTTCATTGCTTCGTCTTTGCGGCAAAGCTGTGACTTTTTTTACCAATATCTCCGGTGATGCCCAGGGACTATGTTATGGCTGCATTACATGTCTTTGAGAATTTCTTGTACTTCTTTCCTTATGGGTTTCCGTTCTTTTAGAGCTATTCAGTATGGGCGCTGATGCACCGGTTTAACATTTTCTTCGACCGCATTTTGGCTTGTGTTCTGCCCCCCCAACCTTCCAAAGGATGATGCACACTGTCCACTGCGGACCTTAATGGCAATTGTGCCTCGCCTATCTCGATGATGTAATTTTTTCTTCTACCTTTGAGCAGCATATGCACCATCTAAGCATAGTACTAGATGTCATTCGCGTGGCAGCACTGACTATCAAACCGCATAAATGCGAGTTCGGATTTTATGAGCTTTGGTTCCTCGGGCACACTTTTAGTGCTAAAGGTGTTTGCCCAGATCTCGAAAAGATTACAGCTGTCGAAAACTTTCCGAAGCCAAGGGACAAAAAGGCCATAAGACAATTCCTTACAATTCATTACAATACAATACAATTCATTAGAATACATGGCACTTTACAAACACACATACACAGCGCAAGAACAAGGATGGGCGCTGTTCTTGCTCTTGCCCCTTTGTATTCTAATATATTTGTGCATCATTGTCAAAATTCAATGCCCTTGCATAATATGTTCCTTTTTTGAGAACTAGATAATGTTGCTTATTATAAAGACTGATTAACATGTTTTGGGTGGTGGTTTTTGGCACAGTAAAAGGAGGAGTTGAAACGTCCACAGTGCAAGGAAGTGTCATTGTTACCAGTACAACCCCTCCCTCGTTCTACGTCAATGGAGTATTAACAAATATTTTCAATACCACTTGCGTTATGCACATTTCAATTTAATACAGAGCTTGACTATGAAATGCAGACCTCTCGTCATTACCATCATTGTGACATATAACACATTGCAATAAGATTTGCTGATCCCATCCAGAAGTATACCGATGATGCTAATAGATAAAGTAATAATACTTAACGAGTGCTGTGGACATTTCTTCTGGCTTTTGCACTTGCCCACAGCATCTGATACCAATCACGGGAACAGAGCAAACCAGTGTATTATGACATCACGAAAGCCTCAATTTGGATACCACAGACTAAAATGTGCTGTCTCCACCATTGCATGCAATACTAGGCCTGTGTTCATAATTTGATGAAGACCTGGGCTTTCGTTGTATATAGCAGTCAAGTGCATGGAGAATGGAAGAAATGTCACAGTGTGTCATTGTTTAGCTCTGAAAGCACTTGAACTGGTTAGCCTTAGTTTCAAATAGAAACTTTTGCCTGATTGCTGGTCATAGTGGCTTGTTTTGAATATATGTGCTCATCGCAGTAAAGTAAGCAGCTTCACAGGAGGTCAGTCTTTATTTTTGAATAATTTGAAATTCTGCAAAATAAACTGCAGGATGCATTTTGTGTTCGATTGATTGATATGTGCTGTTTAATGTCCCAAAACCACCATACAATTATCAGAGGTGCCATAGAGGAGGGCTCCGGAGATTTAGACCACCTGGGGTTCTTTAAACCTGCATCCAAATCTGAGCACCTGAGCCTACAGCATTTTCACCTCTATAGAAAACGAGCCGATGCAGCCGGCATTTGATCCTGCGACCTGCTGGTCAGCAGCCGAGTACCTTAGCCACTAGACCACTGCGGCGGGGCATTGCATCTTACACCAGGACTAGCAATAACTATAATTAGCTAGTAGAAAAGAGTAAACACAATTTACAAAGAACAGTCATCAAGAAATTTGCCTCATGTAATAAATTACATCTAGTGACATTTGCCTTTACAGCGCTGAAATTGCATGCTTCGATTTGTTGCCGTTATCAGTTTCTGAAGGCATCTTCCCCCCCCCCCCCTTTCTGTTTTTTTTTTTTTTTTTTTTGTGTGTATTAGTGCACTGTGCAAGATGTCATTGACATGACCTGTCAAGAAGTCAGAAGTTACTACTTCTCCAAGTGAGTTATATTGCTTTTAAAGAATGCTGCTTGATTTTTTTTTTATGTACTAATTTCCTGCTTACGATTATTCCAGGACAAGCATTCAAAAGCCCCTAGAGTAAACCTTGACGGGCACCGCATAGCATTGGGTAGTACGTTGCATTGCCAGTAGAGCTTGACATGCCCCACCTGTGAAGAAAAGGCCTTGAAGAAGATTTTTCTGCAGTACTTCAATCAAATATACTTGAGGACATTGCTTTCGTAGGCATCGAATGTTGTGCTTTGCATTTTTATGTTGCATTCCATTGTATATGTTCCTTGGCACCAGTCTGACCCGGTGACCTCACACTAATTAAAGTATTTATATTAAGAGGTAGCTCTGTGACATTTGACTTAAGTATAAGAAATTAAGTGTATGATTACTAAAACCAATAAGGAACTGTATATCACAGTGTGTGACCAGTGTCGCCACAAGCTAGTCGTGCCTAGTCAATGGTACTCTTTCAGTTGTGAAATTCTAGTCTTGGGTACCTTAGCATATTATAGATTTTCGAAACCTATGCTGTTCACATGCAAAAAAAAAGGAAATAACACCACGTCTTCATGCTTCCAGGAGTATTTCTACATTGCTAACTTGCTCAATTTTGTGTTGTGATGATGGAAGTAGCTTGCAAAGGGCAGTTTTTATTAAAAAGTTTGAAATTTTCCCGAAATGGATATCAAATTTCAACATACAATCCATTTAACATAAATTTGGCATATCTTATTTTCACATTAAACATTTTACCTCTTGTGCAAGGTTGTGCTATGCGAGATGTATATCCTGGTTTGCTTTAAAAAGACCGTTCACTTGTAAACCAACATGAGACCTGCAAATTTATACCCCTTATATATTAAATGCATAGCATTTAGGATAATTATTTGCAAACCATAGATATTGTGATTTAAGGCAAAAGGAATTTTGTGTGTTTACAAGTACAACCTCTTATTAAACCTCGCAGCTCTACTTCTCCAACAGTCTAGATTATTCAGATCCTCTCCACAATATCAACAATGTGAGATTTGTATCAGGTACAGTTGACTTTAGCTGGAACTTCAGTGCAAGTGCCTGATGACAGTGCTTTGGCAGTATAAGGTATACATTATTAGTAAATACTAAACATATTGTGTACTTCTTCCATCACCTTGAGATTCCTGCAGTGTCTGCAGTACTGTGGACTCACCTTTTCCACAGCATCTCCATTACGTAGTCCTTCCCCTGACTTTCTCTTGCCACTGAACGCAAGGATCACCTTAGGGTTGTCGGCCATTGCCACCAAAGAACGAGTTCACTTGGAACGTGTTCATGAACATCTTAAATAACTAAAGAGTTGTGCATCAAAATGAGATCAAGGTGTGAAATGAAATAATGTTTTGTGTGTACGCACTGCTTTTTTGTGTTTCTTGCATCCGTTTTGGTGCACAGAACTATATTGCCACTTGAAAGTATTTATCAGATGTATACTTTCCACACAGCATAAGGAAAATAATTTTTTTAATATATGGGACGCTGGGTAAGAAATGAACAGGTAAGCCTAGCCACTGCAGTTTCTTGTGCCTCTTGCCTCTGAAATTTAGAGCTCATTGTCAAAGATGCGATGCTTGAGCTTGGGAGCAGTTATAGGCAAAACTAAACGGGACATGAACGAGGCGAAACTCCTGTTGCAATACTTTAAATAATGACACATTCTAAACATTGAGTGCGCCCAATAGTATGTGCTGTTAATTGTACATTCCAGTGCGGAAGTAGGCGAAAGTAATAGCAAAATCACTTCATGACTGAGTTTATTGTGCGAGTAATTGGCTGTTAAATAGAATTAGCTGTAAAGATGCTGCATATGTTACACCAGCTGCACCTCTAAAACAGGAATTTAAGTGAAACCATCGTTATTCTTTAGGTAAGACGGAACAGTAGGACGATACTAAACCACCGTTACACGTAAGTAAGTTCAGTAAGCAGCATTGTGTGAATAAAATGCAATGCGAGAAGGAAGGAGTGGTATATCTTTGCCATCGCTCTTACCAACATCGCGGTGAAGCTGCCTTTTTTTTTGTATGACAAAAAATATGTGCAACTAGCCATCACCCGCTTGAGGTCGCACAGTAGTTGGCATAGCAAGAGTTTGGTGTAAATGATCACTCACTATTTAGTGGAAGGTGTCAGTCCTTTCTTTGCGACTCGGTGAATTGGTCAGTACAAAACCCAGAACCAGCACAGCGTTGAACCACGAAAACTAGCATGGAAAGCAGGAGCCCATGACCTTCGATCAATGCTCATGCATGCAGTTTGTTTACAATTTCGCATCAGCCGCAGCTGCGATTATTTATGTTCTGTTCCACAACATACTTAACTTCCAAGATCGAAATTAAAGATATTCGCCTTAGTTGTTTTTAAACTTTCAATCTGGCAAAGTGCTGTATATGCAACTATCTTTATGTGGATTCACACTTGAAAAAGCACATGAAAATATCACTTTGATGTGCACGAGGTGTTGATTCTAAATGGCATGCTTGTCAAGAGCCACATCCAAGAGGTCCAACACCCATTTTGTCATATATATTTAACTTTTGACAAGCACACCTTCGATCAATGCTCATGCATGCAGTTTGTTTAGAATTTCGCATCAGCCGCAGCTGCGATTATTAGGTTCTGTTCCACAACATGCTTAACTTCCAAGATCGAAATTAAAGATATTCGCCTTAGTTGTTTTAAACTAGCTGATTGAGTGCTTTTCACTCCTTCATTTATTTGAATTCACTTTCCTCAGCTATATGTAACCTGAAGCAACGCGTCATTTTCATGCAACATTCACGCGAAAATCAATCATAGTTCCTCGAATTTATTTAAAAATTCACTTGTGGCAATGTTTCACAATAAATTTTGAATGTACATGTTCCGGTATAGATACATTATTTGTAATTGTGCATACATATATAATTTTTGTTCACTAGCACAGTGGTGTTCTCTTAATATTTTAATTATTGGTATATATGATCTATATATCATGTCAACATATATGTGTGTATCAGTTCGATTTATCAGAGTACTCTTTTATTTCCACATTGAAATTATCAAGTTTTTTCTTTGCATATATGCGCGCCTTTTTATCCTCCTGCACATATCTTACCTTTGATGGTCTAAAGATCAACACTGACATTTATCTCGACGTTGTCATGTTAAAATAACCAATATTATTTCTTGCCATTCTTGGGTAGACGAACTGTCAATCACATGTGGCACATAACCACATACTGCAATATATGTGTGCCACACATCTTGAAGAAAGGGTTTGACGACAAAAGCGATGAGATTGCGGAATTATAATGACCATGCGTGCAATCACATTCGTGAAAGCATCTTACTCTCCCATACTAATTTGGTTTACCCAAAGCTAAGGGATGGATGGATGGATGGATGGATGGATAGATAGATAGATAGATAGATGGATGGATGGATGGATGGACGGACGGACGGACGGACGGACGGACGGATGGATATAAACAGACCATTGAAGTTAATTTTTCCTTCTTAGCCAAATGAACACTTAGTCAATTGAATTTTTATAACGTTATCAACTCAATTTCCAGCCCTGTTCGGTTATAGGTGTACATATAAATCAATAAAACGGCAGTAATTATTTGTACTGAAAGGTGCATGCAATGTAAGTATCTTTTAATTCAAATTCAAAATAAACTTCCCTTATCGAGATGGAAAGCGGAGCTGGAGGTACAGATATTGTCACAATCATAGAATAGCACCGCAGTCATTACACAAATGCATATCCACACATGGGGAAGGGCCGATCGTGCATGCATTTGAAAACAACGTACCATTTGTTTGGCTTCACTGCACGACAAAAGTGTCACACGGTGAAGCATATTTGCTTTGCAGTAAAGCATATTTGTTGTGAGCATACCGAAAGCGGGGCGCCCTGATGTATACAACTTGTAGGAGCTTCTTGCGCGAGCTCCCTCTAAGTTGAAACAGCGCGATTGAATGCGAACAGAAGAGAACAAGCACATACACCCACCCAGAATAAACTTCCTTGCTGCACGATTAGATCGAAGGTGTGCCTGTCAAAAATCTAACTATATATGTAACGAAAGGTATCTGACCTCTTGGGTTTCTCATGGCAAGCAGACTAATAAGAGTTAACATCTCTTGCGCATCAAATTGATATCTCTGTGTGCTTTTACAGGTGTGAATGCACAGACAAACGCACGAATTGTAACCTGAGGATTCAGGGCTAAGTAACGCACATTTTTTCGCTTCCACCGTTTTCAACTCTGGTCACAACGATGCAATTTTGACTCAAACGAGTAGATCAAAGTCAACATTATCTCTAGAGATCATATTTGTGATTACATGACGTGATTATCTCAAGCTATCGTGCATACAAGTATGATAAACAAACTAGCCTGCCAACGCGCTTCAGCTAGCTCACATACTTTATATATAGTTCGATGTACATGTACATCATTCGTCAGACATTCAGAACCGCTTCTCATCTGACGATATAATTCGTGCAGTATCGATTGTCATGTTTGTTCATGACAGTACACCGTTTTATGAGAAAGGTGGCCATATAAGCTGACGTTTAAAGGAGAAACGAGCGTTATCGCGGAGGCTCACGTTGGGAGCACAGTTATAAAAACTGTGTAAGTAACCCGACTCCTGGTACGTGTCATACACACAAATAGTCTCAAACAATCTAGAAGTTTCTCAAACATTCTCGCACTGCCTGCACCGATATATTTTCATGGTTATATCGATCATATGAAAAGAAATGAGCGAGGAATATAACCGCTACTGTATGCAACCAAATCTCTTTTAACGACTCACAACTTTTCTACACGTAGCCACCGGGAAAATAAACCATAAAAATTAAGTCATAAAATAAACTCGGCTGTTATAATTAATACAGTTGTGATAGTCATGTTGTTTTTACAACATCATGCTGTTAATTATCGCCTGTACATATTCGATCCTTGCAAAACTTGTTTCATTTGCAGTATAAGTTCGTTTTGCAACAATATGTCTGGATGTAAAGTGCATCTTCGGTTCTCTCGAGAGAACCCAATATGCACTAAGCATGCAGTTTATGTAGCTGCAATTAATACAAAAAACTTGGTTCCCTCATTCATCAACTGCAATATCTTTTGTTGTGCAGTGACGGTGCACATGTATGTGCACAGTACACGTTAAGAGATATGTGACCATACTTGAAGTCATCTGCAGTATTAACTAAACATATACTACTGCAGTTCTCTGCAAATCTGATTCCTTCTGAAATGTATATTGAAAGTTTTTTTACCAATTAAATACCTAGCATTTA